AAAAAAATTAAAATAAAAACAAAAAATAAAGATAAACAATACCGTGAAGTGACTCATAAGCTGAGTTTTATTTGACTGAGTAAATCATTTTGCATACATGTATGAAAGCAAGACCTACCGATCTTCAATGTATTGAGTTTGAGATGAGGAAAGACCATATTTGAAAATCCTTTAATAAGGCTAAAATTTATCCTTTATAGTCTCATTTTAAGCATAGTAATGTTTTTTTAAAATAACCTTGAATAGGATTACACCCCACACTAGGGGGAGAATAAGAGAGGTTTTGAAGACCATTAATAAGAAAAGACTTCATTTAGACAAAACAGTGAAGATAGATGTTGGAATTGATCATGTCATTATCATCCAGAAAAAGCAATAAAGATAGATGTTGAAATTGATCATGTAATTATATTGAAAAACCTAAAGGATTAAAAAGATTTGAGTTTCTCATAAAAACAACTGAGGTGATTATGTTCAACCAAACAAAAATGAAGAAAACAAAGAGAAAGAGCTCAAACCCGACACTTGGGAGCATGAAATCCATTTTGGCAAAAAAGTCATAAGAAAAGGTTAGGGAATAAGCACAAGTGATCCTTAGTTTTGAAATCCCTCAATCATCTTTTTAAGCCTGTAAAATATCATTTTTTTTATAACCAATAGCCCAAGCCTATATTATGTACCTAATCAAGCCTTTTTTGATCAAAGGCAAGCAATTTGGATCAGTAGGTAGTGCTTTCTCATGCGAGTCAAATCATTATTCATGCAAATAAAATAAATGCTTTGAATAGATTCAGTTCTCAATAACCCTCAAATTGAAATTTTAACTTTTTATAACTAACTGGATGTCACTTCATCTTTTACCCGAAAGCTTCAAAACATTTTCATCACTTCAAGAACCTATCAATAGGAATCGTTTAAATTCTTGAGAATAAATTTATTTTGAACCAATATCAAAATGATTTTTGTGGTTGGAATAACTTGGAAGTTCTAAGAATTTACATGGAAACATTTCCCTGTAAATAACCCAAACTTTCTTTCACATAACCTCATCCCTTAAAAAAACCCAATGTGAACACTTAGGGGGTATGATCAAGCTGGGGGCAAACACTTAGTAGGGCTGGCTCTATGATTCCTTTTTAAAAAAATTATCGGGTAAAATTGACCACATTTGAGATAAAGGTTGGAAGACAAAGAAATATAATGGCATCAAACCCTTTTCAGAAGTTAATATCACAATATGTGACTTGAGTAAGCAAGGGTGGAAAAGCCATCGAAATTTACTACTAACACTCTAACTTTTGAGAAAAAGAAAGACACTATGAAGAAATGGGGGTTTATATTTCTTAAGCAAGTATACATGTATCTCAATTATAATGTATTTGCTTCCAACACTGACAGATCAGTGTTTCACCATCAATACTTAGATAGTGTGTTTTTTAACCCTACCTCCTTTTTTGAGTGTGCCTTTAAGCCCTTATCATTTAGGCAGTGCATTTTCTAACCCTATCTCCTTTTTTGAGTACGCCTTTGAGCCCTTATCACTTAGGTAACGCGTTTTTTAACCATACCTCCTTTTCAGTGTGTCTTTGAGCCCTCACCACTTAGGTAATGCATTTTTTAAACCTTGCCTCCTTTCAAGTGTGTCTTTGAGCCCTCACCACTTAGGTAATGCATTTTTTAAATCTTGCCTCCTTTCAAGTGCACCTTTGAGCCCTCACAACTTAGGTATTATAAACCCTGTCTCCTTTCCAGTGTGCCTTTGAGTCCTCACCTTTTGAGTAGTGTGTTTTTTAACCCTAACTCATTTTGAGTGCGTCTTTGAGGCCTCACCATCTTTTCTAGGTAGGTCACCCATTACAATTCAACCACTTCTTCATGTTTTTATTTGGATAGGTCACTCATTATAATAAGATCATTCTTCTATCTGAGTAGGTCACCTATTACAACATGACCACTTTTTTGTTTTTCTCATTTTAGATACGTTACCCATTACAACTCAACCACTTCTCCATGTTTGAATCTAGGTAGGTCACCCATTACAATGAGATCATTCCTCCATTTGGGTAAGTCACCCATTACAACACGACCACTTTTTTTTTTTTTAAGGGGGGTAGGCCACCTATTACAATTCAATTACTTCTTTACGTTTCTTATCTGGGTAGGTCACTCATTACAATGCGACAATTCCTCTACTTGGGTAGGCCACCCATTACAACACAACCACTATTTCTTTTTTTATTTTTGGATAGGTAACCCATTATAACTCGACCATTTCTTCATATTTTTTTATCTGAGTTGGTCACCCATTATAATGAGACAGAATGACAACTCTCATTCCAATTTTTCACTAATAAGAGATAAGAATTCTCTGTCTTTTTATATTTTGTTAAAAATATACACATATTTTTTCAAGTGAGTGGAGGATCGCCACAATGTTGAACACCAGCGACAATAATGACTTATTTTTATTTCTTTAAGATTTTGGCATTTTTGCTATTATTTATAGACATATTAGTAAATTTCTTGTAAATAACATATCTAGTCATTTGACAGTGAAATTATTAAAAATAATCAAGTCAATTGATAAAAATAAAAATAAAAATAAAATTTAAATATTTAATTATGAAATATACCCCTGTTTATGGATTTAAATATATATTAAAAAAAAAGGTTCTTGGTGAAAGTTTAATCTTTGTTTATGAGATTCTCACTTGCATGGGATTTCATAAAATTCTAGATGAACGCAATGCTTTTTTGTAAATTATAAATCTAGGATTGTATAGTTTTATACTTTAGAAAAACAGATTTTGGATCCAAATCATTAGAAAATATTAAAATCAAACCCCATGACTACGAGATTTTGGATTTATATATATCATTGAGTCATTGTCATTGAAACAGTAATTTTTTCAAAATTCTTAAACTAACAAGAAATTAAACCCCGTAAGAAAAATACTGTAAAAATACTTGATTTACTATATATTGGAACAATAAATTTATCTAAATTTTTAAACTAAATTCTTATTTCCTTTCTCCTCCTTTATTTTCATATTTAACCTTTCAAAATTGATTTCAAATTGTTTTTCATAAAAAAATTTAAATTTATATTTTTTATATTATTCAATAATTCTAATGTGTTGATATAATTAAAAAAAATCTAAAAATATATATTTTTAATTAAAAATTATTTAAAAAACAAAATTTTTTAAAAATATTTCGAGAAACAAAAAAAAAAAATACACCATCTTTTCCTTAACCACCGCTCGTCATTTATTCCAAAGGCAACCATGTTTATAAATAAGGAATTAAACTTTTATTTCAGCTTCCATTGAATAAAGGTTGTGTGTGTGTATATTTATTTATGAAAAAATATATTTTTAATTAAAATATACTATTAAAAGATATTACATATCACATTACCAAACACATGTTGAAGTAAAAACAAGAAACTCAAATAATATATTTTTAATTTTTTAAAAATTTATTTTTAATATTAGTACAATATCAAAACAATACAAAATCATGAAAAAATAATTAAAAATTTTAAATTTTAAAAAAACTTTCTTAAACACAAAAAAAAATCAGTCTAATACTCGGCATTTATTCCAAAACCAACCATGTTTATAAATAATTAATTAAACTCTTATTTAAGCTTACATTGCAAATTAGCAGCAAGGGTTGTATATTTTCGCTTTCATGCTTTAGCACAAGCACAAGCATGCTTGTTAATCACAACTTCTTTTATTAAATAAAACTTGTTAATACTAAAATGATTATTTTAATGGTTGTAATTAATATCACTATTGATTTTCTCTTTCTAATATCATTTTTCAAATTAGAAATCAGAAAATAATAAAAATAATTTTTTATATCAAAATATAAATTTTTAAAGTTATAGAACTAAATTAAACTTTTTATAATAACTTTGAATTTGCCATCTATTTTTGTCACATTTTCCACTTTGGTTCTTTCTTTTTCAATCTTGTCATCAGGTAATAAATTTGATGGCAATTATTTTTTCACTTGGCCTAAAAAAATATAATTGCGCAAAAAAAATATTTGAGAACTAAAATATGTCACTAAATAATTTTAGCGTGGATTTTTATATTTTTAAAACTTAAGGTGCAAAGAGGACATGTTTACAAAGATAATATTTATTATTGTTTTATTTTTAAAATATTATTATAAAAACTTTTAGTTTTTAAATTGCTTAATTAAATAAGAATAAAATAATTATTATTATAGTCTTATTTAAATAAGTCATGTTATTTTTTATTTTTTTTTAAATCAAAACGATATAATGATATTAAATAAAAAAAATCAATAAATTTTGTACCCTAGTTTTATCTTAAATTGCACTGATGAACCTAGGTTTTTAATTGGGGTTAGGTTGCCTCAATCATCACTCTATTTTTTCTTAATGACAAACCGATTTGAGGCCCCAAGTTGCAGGTAACCAAGGTTTTTTCTTTAATCATATGCCAAAGGCCATGGGAGCCCGTTCCTGGGCATAGATTGAAACCCTGAGAGATTCCTAGGAAATTAGGCTCAAGGGTCAACCAACAAAGATGTGAGGATGACCGATGGCCGTCGCTTGATGGGTGAGGCCCAAGGATTGAAATTCTCTCATGAAGATGTTTCCAGGGATGGTTCAGAAGGAAAAGCATTTTGCATGCTTAAATACAAGCCGCCTATAATCAAGAAGAATGTTTTGGGTGCTTTAGATGATTTCTCATAAGCCAATAATCACCACCAACAACAGGTAATTGGTATCCATAATCATCTGAAGGAATCATATTTATTTGATTTGTCATCATCTGGGGATCACCAGTCCTTTATGACCAGTGCCATCAACAGTTGCTAGCTAACTCTTTGAGCTCCAAAACCAGGCAAACAATGAACAAGCACAACATTGATTTACAAGGAAGTAGGCTTACATTAAATTCAAGTAGTCAACAAAGTTATTTGCAACATAAATTTCACAGCAATAGTCCGTAAAATTTCACAGCAGAATAGAACAGGACAGCAATAGTCCGTAACCATACCACTCTCAACTTTTATTAATTTAATAAAAAAACTTCACTTTTCTGTACACAGTTTTATAGTTAAAAGTTTCCGCCTGTCTCCTGGTAGTGGCAGCAAGCAAGCATTTTAGTGGTAACCGATAGGAGCAGGAGCTTCCTTCAGTTCGCGTCCTTGATAGTGTATGTCCTGCAAGTGATTCAAGAACAATAAATTAGAATTTGAAAAAGAAAAAAGGGCGGTGTTAGAAGCAGAAAATGAATGATTAATTTAATCTATGCAGAGAAGGAAAGGCCTCAGTCGAAAAATCTTGATGAAGTTGGACAATTTCAATCGAATTCTCACCGATGCAAAGTGATTCACATCACGGTGATGAGCTTCATCGGCTCTAACAACCTCAACAACATCGCGGAGGGTGGAGTTAGGAGGCAAGCGCCAATAATCAATAGCGATGGCGGGAGCTGGAACATTCTTAATGTTGCCTTTGTCCAACTCCTTCAGGAACTCGGTGTAAGAATGAATAGCTTCCTCCTCGAGATACCCCACCATGCGATGAGCGAATTTCGGGGAGATGAGGTAGCCAAGGAAGTAGGCATTGAAGAAAACACCTTGGACAGTAATCACCAGAGCACGTTCATACCACTTGGGATTTGCCACCTCCATGAATGTCATGAGATGCATTCGCTCGTTTTCAGCCTCTTCAAGTAACGCTTTGATCCATCCTCCACTGTGCTCAAATCGCCTCAAGGACTTGCAGTGCAGCAGCATGCCTCCTACCATTCCTGGCACTGCTGCCACAGTCTCCAACATCATTGCGCGGCAGCCATACCTTCTCTGTTACATACAGAAAAAAGAATACATCAAAATTTGTTCAAAATTTGCCTTGCACATCCAACAATCTATTTGGTAATTATAGACATTTGATTCCTGGTATTTAAGAACTAATCATCACATTTATGACCCATTTGCGATGCTCATTCATTATCAGTAACAAACAGAATCCCTTTATCTTTCCCTTTGAGAAAGGCAAGAAATCAATAGAGCTACCTTTCTTAAACCCAGTTTTTGGTTTTTCCCTTGACAATTTCATTTCATGGATACATACCAATAGGATATTCCTCTATCAATCTGTAGTTGTCCTCTGTTACTGTAGTTCTGACAACAACAGAGGGTTATCCCTAGCATCCTGTATTGCCTCAAAAACCAACACAGAAATCAAAATTTAGGGTCCAACTGCAATATTTTCACGGATAATCGTAAAATTTTTGTCAACAAAAAAAAGACTTCCATAATTTGTCAATCCAAAGAAATATGCGCAGTCACAGTTTATGAAATCTAAAGATCAGAACATGAAAAAAAACAAACAATTGATTTGATCAAAATAACAGTAGGAAAGAGGGTAAAATGAATCGACCATACCTGAAAGAACAAATCAGTGGGCCATCTGAGAGACTTGACAGTCCAATAAGCCATTTTGTCCAAAAAAGTGACTGGGGCATGATGCTTCGTCAGATTAATCGATAAATCAGCAGAATATGTCTCCCATGGCTTCAATTTCAAATAACAAACCATAAGCACAAGATCAATCTTCAAATACCAACAAGAAAAAGAAACACACACAGATTTGCACAAGACTTTTTATGCATATATATCTTGTCCAGTACAAATCCTTACCGCACAAAACTTAAGAAAGAGAGCATATCTTCAACCTGCTCTCAGACACCACCTTGACAGTAACCAAGAAAGTCCCAGAAAAAAAAAAAACTTTTTTTTTTATCATGAAAGCATGAAACTTGGATTTAAGAAACCAAAACCATACATAAAAAAGAACCCACGAGTCTTTATCAATGTAAAACCAAAACAAAAGACAAAAGAATGAAAGCTTTAGAGAAAGAAACAATCTTACTCTAAAACAATTCCACTTCCACTCAGTTCCGTCTTCTTTAGTTACCCTACTAGGAGGAACACCCCAGTAACTAACAATCGCATTCTTCTCCTCTGCTTTATCACCACCCTCCGCAACCGGCTGGCTATGCTTCACCTCCTCCTGTTGTTGATCTTTCCCGCTATAACTCGCAGTACTCCCATGCCTCAACCCAAAAACCGAACCCCGAACCCAAAACTCACCAATATTCCTACGCACAACATCCCCATTAAACCCCACCGCTTTAGCTGGGACGGCCTCTTTGGCTAGTATCCCACGGGCGGTGGCTGTTGAGAAAGAACGTGAAACCAACATCATGGAACTCACCAACTTGGAGGCTCCCTCGCGACTTGCCATCAACATCTTGATGGTCAAGATCTAGTTCAAAATGAAAGATCAAGAATGTAACAAAAAGGGAAGTTTTGTTTTCTTGGAGGTTTATATTGTTAGAAAGTTTGGAGAGAAAGAAAGAGGAAGGAGTTTTTGGTCTTTTTGTTTGTTGGGGTTTAAGAGATGTTTCTCCTCTATTTATATATATTTAGCGTGTGGGGTTAATTTCCTAATTTTAGTTAATTGTAGGGTTATGTTTATAATAATTAGCTGGCGGTGGCGGTGGAGGTTGAAAGGGAAGGCGTAAAGTGCAAAATTAGGAGAAGTGGGTGGCTCTTATTTTGCCAATTTGAGATATTTTTTGGACCTAAATTTGCTCATGAGATGCGCATGAGTGTCTCCACCAAATTTACTAAAATTACATAATATTCATGTATTTAAGTTCATCTTTAATATTAAGATATTTTTTAAAAATATGTATTATTTAAAAATATATTAAAATAATTCTTTTATATTTTATATTTTAGGACAAGCATCTTTTTAAAAAACATCTGAATACAGAAATTATTATACTCTCTAAATTAAATGGATCAAACTCATTGAATCAATTATAAATTATTCTAAAATTAAAAAAACAAAATTAAAAGTAATAATTCTATAAAAAAAACCAACTCAAATAATTACAGAAGAAATTGCAATATTATTGAGTGAGATTTAATTAATTAATTAAAACATCATCAAAAACATTTAGCAAGAATTATCGATAATTAACCTTCTTTTCAAGGGAATGATTAAGTATGTATTTAGTAATATAATGTAATATGTTTTTTAAAAATACTTTGCAATTAAAGTATTTTTTATCCTTAGTATAAACACATTAAAATTATAAAAAAATCTAAAAAAATAAATTTAGTATTTTTTAATATAAAAAATAATTTTAAAACAGAATAAACAAAAAAAAAACACTCCCTCAACCTTTGAAATTCATTGAACGCAATGAAGTAAGTACAGGGTGGCTAATTTAGAATTTCTATACGGCGTCGTGTGGTGATAAGGGCATAATGATAATCGCAAGGATCATGAAGTTTCCAGATTCAATTTTTTTAAAGGAGAAGTAACAGTGAGGCATTTATTATTATGAGCTGTATAATTTTATATTTTTGATTTGTTTGCTTGGAGACCAAGTTTGCGTGCTGGTCAAGAATCAAGACTTTGACACGCTGGGAGACTCCTCTCCAAGAGAACCGGTCCAGGACCCTGCTATGCTTGGAATATTCCTTTCCGAGAAAACGGGTCCAAGTTTCTTTCCTTGTCCAGAAATTTCTTTACCCGTTTTGCCCTGCCACTTGTTTCCAAACATACGGGGGATCTCATGACACGTAAGAAAGGAATCTATAGTTTTGATGGTCCGATTTCAAACTTCAATAACGTAATTTTAGTTTTTTTATAAAGTAAAATTATATTATTTTTGTTAAAAAAATTAAATAGTCAATAAGTTATAATAAATCTTAACTAAATCACCTGGAATTTTTTTTTTAACCCGATTTTATTTTTATATTATATCTTTAACATTATGTTTCAAAAATACTTTTAAAAAATTTGGAACTTTTTACTTAAAATTAATATATTTTTTATGTTTTCAAATCAATATATTTATTTAAAAAAAAATTAAAAATAAAAAAATATTATTAATATATTTTTTAATAAAAAAATAATCATAACTACTCTTCCATAAAGCCATGCCTAAGGCACCTAACTCTCACTTATTTGCAAATTATTATCCTGTGCACTAAAAAAACGCGGGAAGATGGATTTTAGGCACAACACACTAGAAAATGGATTTGCAATTTTAGAAAATATTAAATCTGATTTAAGAACTAACTTAAAAAAGGATATTGTTATTGAATTATTATGTCAATAAAAAAATAATATTTCATCTTTTTCCGTCAGATCTGAATCAAGTTTGTCTTAATTAACTAAATCATTAAAAATCTAAGAAAGTAAATCGAATTTAAAGATATTAGAAAATGGATTTTAAATTTTAAAAAATATTAAATCAGATTTAAGAATGGAAACAAAGTTTGGCTATGAAATTATCGAGTCAATAAAAATTTAAATCAAGTTTATCTAAATTAAATAAATTATTAAAAAATTAATAAAATTAATCGAATTTAATTGTTCTGTCCTACCGAAATTAAGTTCAATAACCATTAATGCTATGATTAAGTTTACTGGGATTTCAAACCCACAAGCATCCTGCCAAAGAAAACCCATTAAACAAGCTCAAGGAGGCCCAATTAATTCTGTTATTTAAAAAAATAAAAAAGGCTGCAGCCCAAACCAAACTTCACTGCAAGCAACTTGTCTGGGCTCCAACAAACCTTATTATATGGGCAAGAAAAGACATGAGATAAGTGATGCCATCTTAAGCCTTTTTTTACTTCCTCTTGGGCCAACTGGTTTCACAATTAAAAATAATTAAGAGAAACAATTACAATTTATTTTATTTATTTATGTGAATAAACTTAGGCTAGATTTTCATGCTGGAATGGAGGTGCTGGGTTATGTTTGGAGGATCTTGTAATATTAGAATTGGAAGCTATTCTGGAGAATTATACCAAATTTCCAGCAATGTTATGTCTGGTGGAACTCGGTTTAGAACAACGAGAGCCAGGGAGGAAAAAGAAAGTGCGAAATGAATATCCTTATGGACTTGGATTTTTGTGGAAGATGCTGAAAAAGCTTTTCAAGACTAGGATTTTTTTTATATAGTTGGGAGCGTATGACAAGATTTTAGGTGTGGAATGGTTATATGGCTTGAGAGATATAGAATGGAATTGACCAAAAGCTATGGATGAAATTTATGCCGGAAGGGCAAATGCTAGTCATGAAAGGGAAACCTGCAAGGATGACAGGAACTGCAGAGGATAAGATTGCAGAAAAAATGATTTGTGATCAAGGCCAACAAAACTGGTTGCAACTTGGTCAGTTAATGGACTCTGTTGGATGATCAAATAGAGCTTCATGAATTAGAAGTTACTGAAGTGGTACCTGCAGAAGTGCAATCTGTGCTGACAGAATTTGAAGATATATCTGCAGAACCTGAAAGATTACCCCTTCAGAGAACCCATGATCACAAAACTGTGCTTAAAGAAGGGGAAGAGCCAGTTAATATGAAGCAATATAGATATCCTCCAGCCCAAAAGAATATCATTGAACAAGTGGTTCAAGAAATGTTGCGAGCTGGAATTGCACAAATCTGTTAGAGATTATTCTGGCAATTTTTTATCACTTGATGGATAGTGAAATAGGTGCGTAGAATGTTGGTCTCTTCAGCTGTGTTTGATCCCGTCGAAGCCAGTCAAATTCTTCAGCTGCCACTCAGCTTGAGAAAAGCCAAGGTAAGCACCCTGGCATGTGCACAGAAATTGCAACTTTTCGGTTAAAATATCGTCCTGTCACTTATCGAGAAAAATCCATGCAGATCCAGGGCAGCATCCACAGGTTTCACCAAAGTTAAGGAATTGAATCAGGATGGCTCTTTCTATTCTCAAATGAATCTATTTAGTGTTTTCTGATGTGATTATTTGGGTTGAACTGCTGTTTGTTATTGTAAATTCTAGCACATTTCATTAATTGAGTTTGTAATGTTGAAATGAGTTGATGAGGGATCTTGAGAAGGCCGGGATTTCGATTCTGTTGTATCTTGCTATGAAATTTGGATTTTGAACTTAGAGTATACATAAATACATAAATGTATGTTAGGTAATCTATATAATTTATTTAGAGTAGATTTTTATTTATTTATATCATACTTATATATACTTATATATGATTGGTTAAAAAAAAATTTTATTATATAAATAATAATTTTTTAATATTTTAATTAGAATATATTTTTAATCAACAAGTTGGAAAAAAAAATTGACTTATAAAATTTATTTGGATACTTTTTTATAAGATTATATATTTTATGTACAATAGTTAACTAGTTAATATAATCGGATTTAACTAATCAGTCGGTTGAGATAGAAAATTGTGAAATATGATAATCTCTTATTTGAGAAGCACCATATAATTAAAAAAAAATATCACAAAATATTTTTGAACCTAATTGAATTGGTCATTTTTTCATTTACTGTGCTTTTGGTGATTAAAAAAAATCCTAGTGATTTCAGGACTGCCAGACATGAAATTAGCAAAAGTACAAAGTCTTTCTCGCAGAGTTAAATGCACAAAAGGGTTGTCAGTAACCAGACCAGCAGCTATCCCCTTGGAACTTCTCCAGGTGATTGCAGAAGCCAGAGCGGCACAAATGATGGAGACTGGTGGAAAACCCGAGGAACAGTGCAGGATTTTCCGCTAATGAAAGCAGAGCCAAGGTGGATGACCCAGCGGATATCCCATCCGTATTTCCTCGGATGATTACAAAAGCCAGCAAGGCACAGATGGGGGGAGAGGAAGGCCAAGGGAGAAATGGCACAGAATTCTTCACCAATTCAGGTAGACCTCAGGTGGGAAACGCATCAAAAGCTAGGAAAAGTGAAGAAAAGGCCTGAGATTTTATTTTCTTACACATTGGGTGGACATATAAGTAGCCAAGTCAGCTAATGCTGTAGCTGATTATTAAATTTCTAACACCTATGGTAAAAAGATAGATGACTACAACCTACCAAAAAGTGGCTTTACATAGCACGTTTCTTGCTTTCTAATAACAAGTATTTAGGGGCCTCTGTTCCCATCTATAGCCTTTTCTCTTGAGATCTCTCCCTCTTTCAGGTTTCTAACTTTTTAATTCCATGGCTCCTCCCCTTCCCTTTTCTCTATTTATCTCTACCTTTCTTCCTAACTTCCCATAGCTTTATTACGCTTTGCTCTGTCATTTAGCTGTTCACTTTCCATTGAATTCTTTCAGGCCTTGTTTTCTACAAGGTTCCTTGAACCTAGAGAATTAGTCTTGTTTGGTCAGTTCCCATTTGATACAAGAGGTTATATACGAGGGTAGGGGTTGAATTCTCGGAGTTTATTAGCTTCTTAATCAGATAAAGAAAAAATAGTTTTTGAAACAGAGGTCTTCCAGTAGAAAACAAGACGAGGGTTTTAGTGTTTCAAGATATGGAAAACATTTCTGGACTTGGCAAGGAAGATGATGGTAAGATGGATTTGCCTCCTGGATTCCGGTTCCATC